ATGGTGCAATGGTAGGCAAGTGTGATATCAGGGTGGAAGATCGGCAGGGTGGCAGAATGGGATGATGGTAAGATCCCAGTGCGACAGGGTGCAAGGTGGTGACATAGGAGGATTGTTTGTCACCACCGGACGCTCCACTATCAGATGGCACGGCGTTATGCAAACCCGAAGAACTTATGCAGGTCGCCAATCACTGTAATGATGACGCTCGACTACAAGATGGCGAGATGATAGAGAAAACCTAGACAAGTGCTACATGACGACCATGTGTGCAAGGGGAACGCTCGATCATAGGATCGTAGATCGTGACAAAGCTCGGCCATAAGATAGTAGGATAATAGGATGGCATGATAGCGTGTTGGTGGGATGGTGGGATGGTCGGTTCTAGGACGACGAGATAATTTTGCGGTAGGATGGTATTTAGCTACACTGGTGGGATTCACATAGAGTCATCAAAGTTTCGTGCCAGGTGTATTGCTGGTTATGACATTGTCGTTAAAGGGATCGAGAAAAGAGTCATAATGGGTTCCTATTTTGAATGTAGAGAAGACGAAACACGTGTAACAGTTATGTTACCATGTATTCATTTGTATGCGTATTTGTGATGTGAGTTGGCCTCTTACTCATAACCGAGGGGGGGGGGGGTTCCCTATATCAAAGGCTGTCAAAGCTTGCGAAATGTTAAAGATGCATAAGGCAGTGACTGAATGTGCATGGTAGTGACAAAATGTGAAACATATGCTACATTATTTTCGTCGTGCTTATTCTCGTATTGCAGGATGAATGTCAACCACAATCCATCGCACGACAACGCATCATCGACCGACACTTCATCACAAGGCAACAATTCAAATACACCGGCCTTGGATCTTATAATATTCGACAAAAATATATGGGAACATGATATCGTCAGCATAGACTCTTGCTATTTGCACCTTGTCCGAAATGTCGCGCCGGACGGTGAAATCCCCATGTCTTGGGTCATGGGAGGCAACGACATACAACTTCATCGAGACGACGGCAAAGACTTCTCGTACTTGTACTCGTTGGAGCAAGAAGTCGATGTGGAGCCCTACGCCGAGGACAGTACTGAAGACCCTGTTACACCAACAGAGATGATTGACTCGTGGAAAACATTGTGTATGAAGCAGCAATGGTCAGAGCGGGACATGAAACGCGCCAAACAATGTGCTTGGTTTTGCCTCGGAAAACCGCACCTTCCGTTCCCGATCTTTGTAGATTTATATGGTCGAATCCGGGTGTTGAATCGTAACACCACCATTGTGACACTTTTCACAGCGGCCAAGCTGAACGATAAAAAAATCAATACGTTCTTTCTTGCTAGAGAGAAGTTTCACAATATCACACTTACATCTCAGGAAGCATTCAACGACCCTACACTCGCTGGATCGCTTGGGTGCTTCAAAACTCGAATATCTCATGATCATGCTCTAAGGAAAGAGCTCGACATGAGAATAGAATGCTTAGTGCACAGTCAGGTTCATTATCTGTTTGACAATTATGATGAGACATCATGGACCGTCGAACATCGAGATGACACGTTGGACGTTCTTTTAGATAGAAAAAAGTACACACGCGGGGGGAAGAAAGCAGTGACATTTTCTACTGGTTGGAGCAGAGACGTGTACGACTGTCCTTACTGTGGCAACGGACATATTCGTCTTTAGCATAGTTTTGAGACGGTCGACCATCCCGCAGGATGAAGCGGTGACGGTCGACCATCCGAACGGTCGGATGATGGGGTTGTGAAATTGTTAGAACACAAGATGGTCGGGTGGTCGGATGGCAGGATGGAAGGATGGAAGGGCGGCAGGATGCGAGGATGACATGACGCTTGGATGGCAGGATTGCACGATGGTCGTGTGGTCAGATGGCGGGACGGTGGGGTGGCCGAGTGGCAGGGTTCAGGTTAGGCTGGTCGGATGGCACGATGGTTGGACATTCCAATGGTCGGACGGTCGGATTGTGAACTTGCTCGAAGGTGGGATGGTCGGATTGTAGAATTGCTTTAAGGCGGGATGGTCGGATGGTCGGGTGGCAGGATGGTCAGCTGCCCGGCTGGTCGGATGGTCGGGTGGTGGGATGCGAGGATGGGAGGATGGGAGGATGGCAAAATGGCGGAATGGCAAGATGGGAGGATGGTCGGGCGGCATGATGGCAAAATGGCAGGATGGCAGGATTGCATGATGGCAGGATGGCAGGACGGTTGGATCAAGCGGTGAAGCCCGACCATCGTATGGTGGGGTGTCGTGTTGAAGCCCAACCATTGGATGGTGGGGTGCCTCGTTGAAGCCCCCCATCAGATGGTAGGGTGCCGCGATGAAGCCCGACCATCGGATGGCGCGGTGCAACAACATGGTGATGGCGAGATGGTCGAATGGGTGTATGGTCGGACGTTTGAAGGTACAGGGTTCAGGTTAGGCTGGGCGGATGGCACGATGGTTTGACAGTCCAATGGTCGGACGGTCGGATTGTGAAATTGCTGGAAGGCGGGATGGTCGGATTGTAGAATTGCTAGAAGGCGGGATGGTCGAGTGGTCGGATGGCAAGATGGTCAGCTGTCCGGCTGGTCGGATGGTCGGGTGGTGGGATGGGAGGATAGGAGGATTGGAGGATGGGAGGATGGCAAGATGGCCATGGTGGAATAGTAAGATGGGAGGATGGTCAGGCGGCAGGATGGCTGGGTTGGAGGATGGCAGGATGGCAGGACGGTCTGGTAGAGCGGTGAAGCTCGACCATCGTATGGTGGGGTGTCGCGTTGAAGCCCGGCCATCGGATGGTGGGGTGTCGCGTTGAAGCCCCGCCATCAGATGGTAGGGTGCCGCGTTGAAGCCCGAACATCCAATGGCACAGTGCAATGATAGGGTGATGGCGAGATGGTCGAATTGGTGTACGGTCAAATGTTTGAAGGTTCAATCGGTAGGTGACTAAGTGTGGGTAGGTGGGGGCAACAATCCCGCGCTTGCGGTTGAGGCAATATACGCAGTGACTAAGTGTCAAGACCTCAACAAAAGAACATACACCAAACTTTATTTGTAATAAAGTAAAGTCAGACCGCAATTGTACAAGAAACCTATGTATCGATAAAATGCGAGACAATTACAACATATATTTATTAGAAGCAATGCGTGTATAGATAGATGCATGTGTTCGCGAATAAAACTAAGTGTGTTTGTGCGTGTGTTTGTGTGTATGTGCATCCATGTGTGTGTGTGTGTGTGTGTGTGTGTGTGTGTGTGTGTGTGTGTGTGTGTGTGTGTGTGTGTGTGTGTGTGTGTGTGTGTGTGTGACTGCAATCGTACAAGAAACCTATGTATCGACAGAATGCGAGACATTACAACATATATTGATAAGAAGCAATGCGTGTATACATAGATGCATGTGTTCGCGAATAAAACTAAGTGTGTTTGTGTGCGTGTTTGTGTGTATGTTTGTGTGCGTGTTTGTGTGTATGTGCGTCCATGTGTGTGTGTGTGTGTGTGTGTGTGTGTGTGTGTGTGTGTGTGTGTGTGTGTGTGTGTGTGTGTGTGTGTATGTGTATGCATGTCATGCGTATGTGCAACACACACAGTGTTAATAAAAGGATTGTACAATTATCAAAAACACACCAATTAACTAAATAAATTTGTTTGGTAGAAAACAAAGTGACTCGTAAGAAGACGAATCAATGGCAATTCAGTCATAGCCAGAAGTAAAACACACAAGTAACACACAAAACATGAACAGACAAGTGCAAATGCCTGAAAAATTTATGTTACACTGCACGTGACAATGAAATAATGAATGCACAGAATACACAAGCCAGCAAGAAAAAACATAGAAATAATGAATAAAATGAGCTACTGTCGCACAAAGAAATAGGGAAAAGTACACAATGACAAAAAAAAACAAAGCATGAAGTGCTCCGTACACGTGGAATGGATATGTGCATGAAAAAAAAAAAAAAAAAAACATGAAATAATAACAACAAGTACACGACACAAAAACGGCGGACACAAGCAAAGTTGTGAAAAAGTGGCCGATTTCGAAGTTAAACTAATGACCAAGTCACTAAAAAAGAGCAAACCGAAAAAAATCAAACAAAACTGACATAAAATTTGCACATGTGCAATATAGTACCATAGGATCAAATATGTCAATTTTTTGTGAAAAATGCCTTGTTTTGGACAAAAAATAGGGACTTCGATTTCGTGTTTTAAAAAAAAAATGTCAGTTTTAATGAAATGTCAGTTACAAGTACTAACTCTATAACCACAACCCTTAGATGTCTACATAGGAGACTTGAGAAACTCATATGCCACACCCGAAACAACAGAGGTGAAAAACTGTCCCTATTCCATCACTCATTATCGCCACTGTGACAGTGATCTGATGCCTATACCTGCACCCTCTCCTGTAGGCCCCCATAAGCCCCCAGAAGGGCATAGCCCGCAGGCTATCTCTTTTTTTTTTTTTTTGGAAGACACCGCTAGCATGCTCGGGGGGGCTCCATCTATTGGTGGGGAGCAACACCTGCTGGAAATCGGGTCCAGCGTCCCTTGACATTAGAAAGATGTTCGTTGTGAAGATTTTTCGAGCACATATATGCATGCCACGTGTCCCTTCAACTAACAAAGAGCAATTATCTAAAAAATCCTCAAACCCGACACGTGGACACACCAGACAGCCGATGAGCAGCATTGATTGCCCTCAGCTGAGGGGATTAACTGCCCATCCGATCGGAAATCATATCCCTATTGTAATTTCCACAACATCAAGCACGTAGCACCTAGATCCTTATGATGCCATGCGGAGGAGAGGTAATCAGTAGCGGCTGTTTATCTCTACGAGGTCGAAATACCCTCTCCAAAACCCTTATCGTCAGATAAGAAGGAGGGGAATTTGGAGCAGGGATTTCCAGAAACATCAGCGCAGCACATAGCCATTTCAACAAATCCACATAGGCAGGAAATACCTATCTATACTGCTCCATGTTGCTATACCTAATCATTGCTTCATTACAAGTCCGCCCGATCTGCAACGACCATCTGCGAAGGCGGACAAGCGAATTGATTAACAGATTTATATCATATTGCCCTCAACTACTTCCCCCCCCGATTTTCAAAATTCATAGGCGTATTCTAACCGGGGAGTAAAAACCCTACCTATCCTACCCCTTCCCACCACCAAAGCTCCCCCCCCAGTCCCGTGCCGTCCCCCTGTTCTACACACATCCCAATCGCCCAGCCCTGTCGCTCCTGACCCCACAGTACAGAGCAGCAACAAGAGAAGGGAAGGCGAAAAAGGAGGGAGAGAGCCTGCCCCCCACCCTGGCCTTCGTCAGCTGTGTTGTCACCCGCTATATTACCAATATCAACACAGTCATCGCAATAGTATTCGTTGCTGCGCGAGAGATCGGCATAACCCTGCGCCACATACAGCGGATTCCCAACATCGCTATCTTCGAAGTTGAAGACACTGCCGTTTTTGTGGTTGTTGTTATTGTCGTTGTTGTTGTTGTTGTTGTTGTTGTTGTTGTTGTTGTTGTTGTTGTTGTTGTTGTTGTTGTTGTTGTTGCTGTCGTTGTCCAGCGTATGCCCATCTTAGATATCCTGAAGGTTGAAGCCACTGACATCGTTGTTGTTGTTGTTGTTGTTGTTGTTGTTGTTGTTGTTGTTGTTGTTGTTGTTGTTGTTGTTGTTGGTGTCATGGTTTTCACACTTGGCGATAGCCCCCTCCTCCAACCGATTGTAATCGTCGTTGCTCGCAAACAGGCACTCCTCCCGTTCGCCATCGGTCCCCTGCCCCTCCTCAGGTTCCCCACAGCCAATCACCACTTCCTCGATAGGGAAGGTAGTCGAGATAGAAGTATCATTTGCTTCGGTCGAAGCATCCGACGACGAAGGCAGCACCCGCCCCTCCTCAGGCCCTGCGCCCCATAGCCGTTTCCGAAATTCGACGAGAAATCCCTTCACCTCCCCCAACACTTCGGTACAATCCCCCAATTTCACCATCACCTGTACTCTCTCGATGGCTCCCAACTGTTGAATAGGAAGATTTTCACGGAGCTCCTCCTCCCAACCACTGAACAGCTCCTCACCCTCCCCCAGAAGGTCCACGGGTAGATTGTGCTGATGTTGAATAAGCACCGCGTAGATGTCCTCAATCTGTCGCCTATACATCCGCACCATCTCCAGCGTGGCCCCCTCCTCTTCAAACACGGCAGCAGCGACAGCATCCTGCATGGGTGCCGTCTCCATCGCCAGCTGCACCGCGGATGTCGTCATGGTTGAGGCCGTTGTCGTCATGGTTGAGGCGTTGATGTCACCAATTCTACAGTCATTATATCTTATTGTGCTGCTCCCCAATCAGCCGTGCCACGTCTTTAATCACAAACTTAATTCCGTCACGCCGATGTGCCGTCTCCTTCAACTGCCACGTGGAATATCCCCCATCTACGCCCGGGCTGAAGCACCAGACGGGCAGCAGGACGACCAAGCACAGAGGTGGCCCGACGTCACCTCCCCTGCACCAGTCCACGGAGTACGGCCGGGCCTTGCCGGCCGGTCCGTAGCGCAAGTTAGCGCTAGTGGCACGGCGCTTACCAGCCACGCAGGCTATCTCCATGTTGCCTCCAACTGAGAATGATGCTAAACGGTTTTCCCTCGCCCAGGTTCTCCCAAACCAGGGCCGGCCCAAACTTAAACTACCCGAACAACATTTCCAGTGAACCAAAATCATCTGTCTGATGTGCCTTTTTTTTTTGGGGGGGGGGAACTACGGCGCAGTCACGAAAGCAGTTTGTAATTGCATTTGAAACTGCGTTTTAGCAGTTTAGTCAGGGCCCGAGTTTCAATTGCCCTTGAAACTCGGGCTGCGCAGTTCAGTCAGGGCCCTCGTCCATCCACGAACAGTAGATTAAAAAAAAA